TAATCATATACATTGTATATTGACAAAATAAAAATTTAATGAAAAAAAAAAAGTTTTATTGGAACATTAAAAAAAAAAGAACTGTCACACTTTGACTAATAAAGCAATGACCTTTGGAGGTCATGCTTTATAGTAACCACAGAAACCTTTGTAAGTAAATGAGAAAACAGCTCTTTCACTCTGCCTGTGTTTGAGTGTATGAAAAGGTTCTGAAGCGCGCGCGCACACACACACACACACACACACACAGTGCAAGCTAACATTATCCCAGTACCAGGAACCGCCTGAGCTGCAATCTCACAGCATGGAGGCGGAATCACAATAGTAAACATGAGAGGAGCTTTCACAACAAATTCTTTAAACATTTTCATGGCTATCAGCAATGACATTAGATTCAATTAGGCAAACTGATTTGAGCTGCATACAATCTTTACTGTAATTAGTTTCTTTGTTGTACACATTGTGTCACCACCAACGAAAGGTCATTAAGAGGCGCACTCTCCTAGAAGTAATCACACCCTGGACCCTGTAAGTGTGAGGGCAACTGTCAAAGAAAATGCAAAATTTTTTCCCCTGCATCATAATACAAGGGAAACAAATAGTGCCTAAGTCCTACTCATTTCCATTTTTTGTCAAAATGTTCTCTGTATTATCTTGGTGAGCACATAAGAGCATGTAACAGTTATTACAATCAGTTTGGGTAACACTGGGCAGAAAGGTAAAATAAAAACCAAGCATTATTCTATAGAACTCTGTACTGTGGTTGTTTTACAATGCAGACTTTTTCACTGCGGGGACAGTGTCAAGAACTATGAAGAGTCTGAAGTTTTTATCCTACTCGTAAGCTAGGAACTTAGCCTGCCATAGATGTATGGATTCTGGAAGAAGAAATAAGAAAATAGGAAGAAGTCAGAGACAAAGAACAGTTTATTACTCACAGCAATAACAGGTAAACCAACCAGACTGGCCTGAGGTTGCCATTAGGAGAAAAATAAAAGCATCGCACCCAGGAATGGTTTGGGCAGAGTTCTGCATTTTCAAAATAGGCCTATATAACTCCCAACTGAGAGAAAATGATCACTTTCTGGGCAGAGTTGCATTCAGTGATCAAATTGTCTTACAAAGGTGTGTGGATCAGGAGGAGGTGAGGGAAGCAGAATAAGAAATATTATTTAGAAGGCCACTCCAGTGTTACGCAATGACAGATAACCATGGATGGCAGGGTGCATGGAAGTTTCATCAAATACCTTGACTATCAGTCCATTGACGAGTAGCTTTTGTGATGAAAGACACACTATAGTCAGACTGTAAGTCATCCAGACAGCCAAAAACATGTCATAGGGCCACAATGGTATGGCTAGAGTTGGCTGATCAGACTAGATCAGAAACACCATAACCTGGAGAAGCATTAACTGCAGTGAGGCCCCATGGACAGCCCTGAGAGGGAATCAAAAGTCCATTGCAGTCAACCCACCATAGAGGGGGATCAATGCCCCATGTGAAGTGTCCTCTCTCATTGCAACGGGTCAGTTTTTGGCAGGAGTTCCAAGTCTGGCATGTAGCAGTAGCCTCCACATGAGGAGCATCGAGGCCTTTACTTAGTGCCCAGTCTGTAATGGTAGATGTGTTTCCATGTCCAGTATGGTGATGGATCCAGGCTGCAATGGTGGCCATCTGGGCAGTGTGGGCTTAATCAGCAGTGTGAGTGCGGGCAGTCTCATCAGAGAATGTACTCTTGGCATGGGCTTGATCTGAACAGGTCCATCAGCAGCCACAACTTATTTCCACAGTTTGCAGCCCTAAATAGGAGTGTTTTAATCCTTCAATCTTTAGTTTCTTAGTGGCAGACCAAAAAGCTAGGCCACTGCCCACAGCCTAAGAGTCAGCAAAAAACATAGCAAGGTTCTTGAAGGATAATATTGGCCAGAGCTACGACAGCAACCCTGAGTTGTGCCCGCTGAGCAGAGCTACACTTTTGGTTTTGCATCACTGGCACTGAAGTTGGCAAGACATAGCAGCCCAATGAATACCACCAGATTTCAGCTTAACCGAATGATCAAACCCAGGCATTTGGGGAAACCACTGTGAATTGAAGGCCCTGTAGAGCCAGTGACTTGACTTCACTTGGCACAGTGGGGACAGGGTTTTCCAAAGGAATAGGAACTCTTATATGTAAAGCCTAGATGCTGCTGAGGCCAAGCTGGTTGTGTTCTTTTTTTTTTTTTTGTCTTTTTTTTTTTTTTTTCCGTGTCCGGCAACGGATCGCAACCCTCAGTGTTGCCCCCGTACCGGACCGGGGACCGGCAATGGGATCGCAAGCCTCGGCGTTGCTCCCGCGCCTCGCTCAGCCAGTGAGCGGGAGCCGGTCTGTACGCGGGATCCGAACCCTCGGACGGGAGCGCCGTCGCGCTTCCCAAGCGGCGCACTATCCAGTGCGCCACCGGGCCGGCCCTGGTTGTGTTCTTGAATGTACCATTTTCATTTGACTAGTGAAGTTTGTTGGGCCCCTCCCCTCCTGTTAGTCATTGAACCCAAGTTGATTCACCCTAAAATAAGAATATCCCATCAGAAAGTCAAAAGGCTTCTATGGGTCAGGCATTCAGTTTTGATAAGAGCACCATAACAAGCTAATAGCTACTTTTTCAAATGAGGTGTTCCCAGTAATGAGTCCAAAATCCCAATGGGGAGTCTCTGGGTGGAGGCTACCTCCCTTTGCCAGAGGTTCCAGTCAACAAAATCATCAGTCACAAAGACTTGTAGCTCAGAGGGGTAATACGGTTATGGAGCCCCAAAGTAGAGAGTATAACTTGCAGGACCACTTTGAATGCAACCTATTGGTTTAGGTCCCTCTTAAAGGATGCTGATTTGCAAGTTAGCCCATACAAAGAACCAAATAGAATCTCCAAGTGAGACACATCCATCTCTAATACTCACAGAGTCCAATATGGGCCTCCTTTTTGGTGGTAGGGGTCAAAGAGACAGAATTTTTCCTTGCATGCCACAGAAATTGAGTGTTGTGTATCCAACCATGTAGTTCTAAGAAACTTTACTTGGCCAACAGGCCCCTGAATTTTGTCAGAGTTTATCAGCCACTTCTGATAATGGAGGCATGATATTACTGCCATCAGGGTGATTAAGCTGAGGCTTCTGACTTGCCAATCAACAAGACATCATCTATATAATAAAAGCTTTGGATAGGTCTTCTCTAGTAGGAGAATCTTTTCTGGCACTTATGGGACAGATAAGTTCAAGCATCAAGTCCTATTTACGGTGAGATGTAGAAGCAGCTACAACAGAACCTTGGATTGGCTCAAAAGGTCCCACCCACAAGGTCAGGCTAGCTTCTTTGCACTACTCTGATCCCCGCCTATCCCCTGTTAGCTGAATCAGCATGCCTTTTCCTTCCACAGGTCCAGGTAGGTTCTGTATCCAATAGAGTCATAAAAGTTTGATTACTTTTTCTCTCCAAGATTCCTCAACATACTGAAATGGATATGTATGGTCTTTAATGCCCCTTGGGGACAGGAAGACCTTGGCCCCATCTCTAATCATTTCTGCATAACATGGCTGAGGTCAGGGGAGGGGAGAGAAAGAGAGAGATCATTTTCTCCTTCTCATCTACCAACATTATAAACCTAAACCAGGTGATTAAGAGCCAGGATCATAGTCAGTGTTTCATTTGTGGTTACCCACGGGATTTTTTCTCTTTCAGGAAAATCTGCCAAAGAAGACCAAAGCTCCCTTACAGCAGCCTGGACCCACTGAAAAAAAAAATTCTGAGAACTGTTACTGTTGTCTCCAAATGCATCTAAGGTTAGCATTATAGATCGCAGGAGGAGTTGAGATGTAAGAAAGCCCAGCTGTTGCCATTCTTCCTTAATAAGCATTACATACCCACCCACTCACTTCCTAAGCAAACCAGCCAAAGTTCTAATGATTTGTCTGTTTTTTGTCCACAGTGGTAGCAAATTTTTCTTCTTTCATGCTCAGTGCAGATGTGTGTCTCTGTAATTTGTCTGAAAGAGTGGAAACTTCCTCCCCCCAGGATGAATATTAGTACTGGCTGTACAATGGGGCAGATTGGAGGTTGACCCCTTGGTTGGTGAGGAAGTTCCCCCACCCAAAGGAGAGTTAGCAACAAGCAGAGCGCTGTGCAGGAAACTATCTCCAAACCTACTTCCTGGTACTCAACCTGCAATCACTTTCCCAATTCCTTCTCATTACCAGGCAAAAAGTAGAGGTCAATTTATTCCCAAGTTGGCTATACAATTTGGTCAATTTACTACTGATTCCCATGAACTTCCCTAAATCCTGTTAATTGGCTTGGAAGGCACTCATCCTTCCTCTTCCAGAAAGCCATGTCTTTGTCATCATTGCCATGACTGTCAAGACCTGTAAAGTGTCTGACATTTACACTATTTGCACACCACTAAGTTATCCTGCCATAGTTTCACAGATGCTGGTAAAAAGCCAAGATTCCTAGGTCAGAGATGAAGAACAGTTAATTATCATATCAGTAGCAACAGCCAGAGTATCAGTGTTTTCTCATCTGTTTCTCAAGTCCCAATTCCAACTGAGTGACGCAAAGAGGATCAGGTGGCATCTGCTCATTCAGTAGGTTGTGTTCCCTGAGCTTAGGGAACCCAAATCTTTTATAGTGGTCAGTAAGTATGCCTGCCCTTTGTTCCAGAGAGAGACACTATCTCTATCTTTCAAGGCTCTTCACTATACAAACATCCTTTGAAAGGAACAAAGGGCAAGTCAGGGCTTTGCTCACAAGGTGTGCAGAAATATGAGAGTACCGTGGAGGAGTGTGTCTCCACTAGGACAGAGAAATATCTAGCAACACTATGGGAATGGCACTCAATCACCAGGAGACTGGGAACTGAATCAGCATCTCATGTTATTATGTGTATAATATACACGGAGGTGTTGGGAGCTTAGGATTACATTTAAAATTTTTTCAACTTTCCACAGAGGTTAAAATAAAAATCCCCACAAGAGGAGGAAGAACCTGAGAATTTCAGCTTCGGAAGGGGTGATAGAAGTCTAGTCATATATATTAAAAAAATTAAAAGTTAGATTAAATTTAAGAGCTGTTGATTGTCATTGAATCAGGATGAAGGATGATTTGTATCTGGGGTTCTTTTTGCTATTCACTCTTTTTTCATGTGTTTTAAAAAAATTTTAATAAAATTTTTAAGCATTTTTTAAACAACTTGAAATAGCAAAATTCTCCATTGAAGAGAATTTGCTTAGGATAAAAACCTCAACTGGGGTTGGTATAGAATGTTTCTCCCCACAAAACCTCTGCTATAGTAGAAAGAAGAAAAATATGTAAGCATTTTATGTAAAGATAGAATTGACATTGAAATTTTAGTTCTAGAAATACTTTATATATTTTAAATATGGGGACAAAGATTTAGGATGGAAAAAAGTTGGGCAATCGCATTAAATTTCACTGAATGACTGATTGCTGCATCCAACATGCTAGAAGGATCTAATACATAATGTATATATCACTACAGTTCCACTGTTCACTGAGAGAATAACGAGAATGCAAATCTTGCAAATACTTACAACAGAGACTGCTTACATATAACAACAAACAAAACCAAAACAAAACTGACTTTAAGGGAATCTAGTCATTCATTCTTTCATTGAGAATCAACTAAGTGTCAGACACTGTGCTAGGTGAGTATCTAAAAAAAACAGGATTTTTAAATCATTACCTTCAGTATTTTTTAAAAGTTATATTATCCTTATATTATTGCTAGTTCTTGTATCAGTTAGGCGTGAAATGTATTTTCAAAAAGGGAAAACATAATGAAATCTGAAAAGTGACAGGTACAGTTGGTACAGTTCCAAGCTGATGAAGATAAAATGAAGAAAGACCTCATGAAGCTTGGAAAATGAACAGAAAGGTTTTCAATAATTCTCTGCATGGGCAGCAAGCAGACAGTAAGTCTAGGGCAAATAAACCTAAACTATGATTATAAGATGATCATCTCTAGATTATCTGTTTGCAACTCTAGAAATGGAATCCATTAATGGCTTGTTCCTCTTGCCCCTGTTTTGTAGCTGCTCCAGAGCCCAACAACCTGCTGACTGTCATGGGAGCTGGAGGGTCCCAAGGAGAGTGCTGCTCTTCAGCCTGAGCCCCACATCTCAAGAAAGGCAGAGAAGGGTCAATAGGCTCTTAATTAGGAATTAACAGAAAGACCAAGATCCCTTAGGAAGATGATACCTGAGACAGAATATCAAAATCTGTAAAATCTTTGAAGGACCTACATGGTGAGGTCCAGGCTGCTGTACACCATTATACCAGTTGTACCCTGCAAGGTCACCCAGCCAAGGGCATGAGGTGGGGTGGGGAGCCAGGCTAGGCTGAAATCTAGCCCATGCTCTGCTCACTGAGCCACGTACCTGTACAGTCATGCACCTGTACAGGGCTGTATCTGTCCGAAAGAAGGAGGGAGCACTCATTCCTAAATTGAGTGCCCAGAGGAGGTGCCATTTCTTATCTGCATAAGCCCTCTATGGGCTAGTTGCAGCCCTGGAATGAGAACATCCTCAAATCCTGGAATGCTAAAACTCAGGGGCACCCACTGAAATTCTATGAAAGTAGTTTAAAGATAAATAAAAGATGGCATTACTTTATACAGTGGGTAGTAAACATATGGAACTCATTATCCGCAAGATGTTGCATAGTCCACAAATATAAATAGGATAAAGAAAGACTTAGATAAATTCATGCTTGTTAGATTCATATGAGCTGCTAGAGCATTGTTAGAAACACAGGGAACGTCTCCAAGTGCTTTCAGGGAAAATACCATGTTTGTCTTCAAAATGTCCTGCAGTGCCTTGAACTAAACACCACAAATCTCTAGCTATCCAGGTTTCCCTGGGAAATCAACATCCATAATAACCAAGTTTTCCAAATAACTGGGACTTAAGCTACTATATCATAAGCATTTTCTTTATACTAAAAAATTGTGGAAAAATCTTTCTTAATGGTGGTGTGAACTTTCATGTGATCTTAAACCAAGTTTACCAAACTTAACCTTTTCTTCAGGACTTGGAGAAGTACGATGAACACCCACTATTGTACTGGATTTTAAGAGAGTGATTTTTTAGGACCCAGGGCGTCAACTGAAATGTATGGCATTATTAGACTATAACCTGAAGGCTGGCCAGTTGGCTTAGTTGGTTAGAGCACAGCCTTGTAACCCTTAGGTCAAGGGTTCAGATACCTGTACTAGCCAGCCACACTAAATAAATAAATAAAAATAAAACCTGGTCCCAAGGAACTATAGTGTTTTTTTCCTTTCATTTCTTTCAGTATTTCTGCTTATTTCAGATACAATTTTTGGTCTTTTTCCCTGTTCTTTAGGCTTCTGTTTTCACTACTGTGAATGGGCTTGCAGAAAAAAAAAACCCTTCACTCCTGATTTTCTGCTCCCACCTTTTTACCTCAGTGGAGAGCCCCCTATTCTCTTTTTTGCCATGTCATCTCAGTGTGAAACAGAACTTCCCTGACTTTACTGTAGCCCCTAGGGACCAGGTTGCACTTTTAACAAGCTTACTTGAAGTCTGGGGAGTAACAGAGAGAAGCACATTTTGGTACTACTGCTGGATTGGCTACGGATGAGCTCACCCTTGAATCCAGGGAGGCTCACACCCACTCTGAGTACTCCATAGTAATATGTCTGTCTAGTTCCCATCCCTGTCCAGGTGAATTCAACCTTGGAAGCTAGCCAAAGGTATCCAAAACTCCAAGCACAAACCCATGGCCAGGCTCCAGACATGGAAAGATGTTTCCTCCCTCCAATCCAAGACCCACTTCTCTAGTCATCATTTATTGGTGCTGGTGTCTTATTACTTTTCCTAAGACGACAGACCAGCAGAATCATGAACTTGTCCCATGGTGCTCATTAGGACTTTGCATCAAAGCACAACATCAACACATTCTAGATGATTCAACCTGAAGTAGCCCGGACATTAACTCTCCAGGCCCAGTTGAGCTCTACCAAGTCCAGTTCTCTTCTTTTGTGTGATCTGTCTGCTAGCATGAGATGAAAATCTTGCCTGCTCATTCTTCATGAAATCTCCGAATTTTGTTTCTAAACAAGAGTGCACATAAATCTCCAAATGAATAAATGATATTTTTAGGCCCAATATAGACTAAATTCACACTTTGAAGAAAATAAATATTTATCTAAGGAAAACACAATGTACAGAAATGCAATCCTGTAGATTTCAAAACAGGCATTTGTTGTTGGTTTATAGACACTTAACATTGTTTAGTCATTTTACATCATAACATGGCAGTTTGTTACTTACCTAAATGCATTTTACTGTGTTTTTGTTACCTTTTAAGAAATTTGTGGGTGGTTTCAGGCTGATGTGTAACACATTATAATTTTTCCCATTTAAAATAATGGGCTAAGGTGATGGATATACTAAGCACCCTGATATGATCATTGCACACAGAATGAATGTATCCAAATGTCATATTGTGCTCTATAAGTATATATAATTATCATGGGTCAATTAAGAAAAATAAATTAAAAAGAGAGAAAAAAGAAAGAAACAGAGAGTAGAATGGTGGTTACCAGAGGCAGGAAAGGGGAGGAACAGGCGGAGCCAGGGAAAGGTTGGTAGACCAGTACAAAGTTACAAAATTACAGTTCGATAGGAAGAATAAGTTCTGGTGCCTTAGAGTGACAATTTTAGAGGATTGTCTAAGATTTAAGAGGATCTTAAATGTTATAGCCACAAAGAAATGATAAATTTGTTTAGGTAACAGATATGCTAACTATACTGCTTAGGTTATTATACAATATATGCATGTATTGAAACAACAAACTGTACCCCATAAACATGTACGATGAATAGAAAACAAAATAAAATAATGGGAAATAGGCTTCTAGTCAGCTTTTTTCATATAGATCATTTGATTTTCAGTAACGGATTATTAACAGTAAGTGCGAAATGTAGATCATATATATACTAAGACTTTGAGGTCTTCTGAGCTTTAGTGCATGAATTTAATGACATCTATTTTGCCTACTCAGGGAACTTGACTGCATCATTCTTGGTTTTTAGTTGTGTTCCAGATGGACAACGTGCTGGAGAGCTAAGCTCTGGATGGTTGAGTGAGTAATTCTCATATTCTTAGTATAGTTTAAAATGCATGGTACAACATCAGTTACTATCTGTTCTGAGGTAAGAAACAGAGTGGAATCCAATTATTTCTGATTCATTGAAGCAAAATAAATAAGTAGCCGTTTGGAGAGTGGTTAACAACCCTAGCTACTCCACGTCCTTAATATCTTTCCTTTGGACCAAGACTTTCATCCTGCGACCTTCTCAATCCTGATAAGTTAGAATGAGATGGAGACCCTTCTTAGGGCTCTTCCCAACACTGACACTTCTCCCCACTCCTTTTACAGTGGGTGAGGTCAGTCTGGGGAGGAATCAGAAGGCCATGCAAGCAAGCCCACCTACCACAATATACTTTTCTACCTGTCACAGAGTCTGACATTTTGCTGATAGAGCTTTATTGTTTGCAGTCTTGAAAATCTGGAGTCTTATAGAGTTCCCTAGGAAAGGTCACACCTTAAATTCTTTGCCATTTGATTCCTTAGAGGAGATTAAGACAATTGGTTGAGGTCAAAGTCTTGAGAGATCAGATCAAATCTCTCTTAGGAAAAGGCATGTTTTAAGAAATGTTAGACAAACAGATAAGAGGAAACCAAAACAAACTTTATCTACATGACAGCATAGCCTGGAATTCACAAGAAGTCCCTGACACTGACCCTAATAGACCATATTATCACCCAAGGGGACCCCAATCCAGCCACACAGATCTCTTATTCCCTCACATATGCCACTGAAAAGAGCCAGATGAGGGTTTTTAGATGGCATTACCAGCTTTTCTTCTTCAATACTATTAATTTTGTGATTCCATAGATGGGATAGTATTGAATCTTACTCCTCTGATGCATCATGCACCCTGGCCCAGGAAAAAAGGAAAATGGGTGAGTACCTAGAATTTCCTAAGTGCTTTCACCTATAGCCTTGCTTCTTCGAGTGGCCTGTGGACAAGCATCATCAGCATCTGTTAGAAATACAGAATCCTAAGTTCACCCCAGGCCTACTGAATCAGAATCTGCATTTTAATAGATCTCCAGGTGATCCAAAGGCACATTAAAGTTTGAGAAGTCTTATCAACAGTATCTGAAAACCTAAGGAAGTTCTGAGGACTTCTGTACCATCCCTTAAACAAGCATCTGGTCTGTGTCTAAACTGAGTGGTCAACAAATATCTGAGAGCTTTTAATCACTGAAGAGAAAATTTCTAGCATTCTTTTAGTACTACACAAAGTTGGACTGGGTAGTCATAGAAATAGATAGAGGCTACTCAGAAATGACTGATAAGAGTTCCAGCCTGTTTTTATTGAGTACTTCTCGCTGGTCCATAGCATAGCTTTCTTTCTCTGTGTTTAGTTTGGGGGTTACAGTGGAAGACTTGGCCTCAAGTTCTCTCTGCATTTATAACTGCTAATCATCGGTGGACATTTTGTTGGCTAATCACTTAATATATTAATTATTTTATATCTAAGATACTGTAAGATTCGAAATCCATATCGCTTAAAGCTCTGCATAGACCTAGCACCATAACATCTCAGAGTTTTTGCATAATTCAGGGTATCTTAAGTACACCTTTATTTGCTGCTGGAATTCCCCGTAACCACCCAATAACTGGTCATCTTCACTCCATTTGAATATGTGGAATAACATGACACATACCACTTCCTATGTCAATCTCTCCTAGTTTTATTTATTTATTTATTTATTTTTTAAAAGATGACCAATAAGGGGATCTCAACCCTTGGCTTGGTGTTGTCAGCACCACGCTCAGCCAGTGAGCAAACCGGCCATCCCTATATAGGATCCAAACCCGTGGCCTTGGTGTTATCAGCACCGCACTCTACCGAGTGAGCCACGGGCCGGCCTCAAAGTGAAGAATATTTTAAAACAGCTTAACTTGGCTGTTGTCAGCAGTATCCAAGGAGGATTTCCAAAGATCAAGTTAGTTTTAAACAATTCTAATTAGTAGAAGTTCTTTCTCATAATGGGTTAAAATTTGTCAGCCATTGGTCTTCATAATTACTTATTCATTTCAATTATTAATTCTACACCATAGTTCCCTTAGCTGGCTGATGTATTTTCTTGTTACTAGAAAAATTGGGACCCAAGACACAGAACATAGTAGGGATCCAAAGGCTACCAAAAAGCACATGAATAAATCAGGACTAGAAAGTATTTATTTCTCACGTACAGTTCTATTCACTAGACTGTCTGCTGAGAAATGCTGCTTTGTGACCAACACTATGATAATACGTAAGCGAAAACATCATCCCTGGGAAAGATCATGGATCAGGGTGTGGTAAAAATCCAGCAACTGTGTCCCTCCTTTCATGGGTCAAACATCTGGCAAACATCCTGGGGTCAGACTGGAGGCCAAAATCCACTGTGGGGAGTTAATCTGTTCCCACAAAGGAGATTTGACTCTCTGGCAGCTGGCAATTTTCCTTTGTGAAATGGGTGTTCCTGGCACTCCATAAAAGTCCTTACCCTTTTTTTTCTCTCCACCCCCGCTTTCCACACCCTACTGCACACACCCTCCCACTCCTACATCAATAAAACCCCTCCCTAGCATACATTCTGCGCACACACATGCCCCCACAACTTCCTCTGCAAACACACCCACGTATCTCTCAGACACACACCCAGGCAGCACAAGGCTTTCTGTCTCTCCTTGATAACCCCATCCTTCCTCTTCTTATTATCTCCTGTACTTATTTGCTTTAATTTTCCCTCAACTCATCCCAGCCCACCCGCCTTTGCTACTTGGGCCTGGGAATTCTGGCACTGTAATCTTGCTCTGCACATTTGTAATCTGGAGCTGTCACAACCAGGAAAGTCACCAGCCTGCGTGTGCCTGCCTGTTCTTCTGCAGCTAGGCTAACAGGGAGGACAGAAAGAAGCTGGCAGGCAGTTCTATTTCTGGAAGCTACTAAAACTCTTGTTTTCCCTCCTTAAATTCCTAAAGGAACCATTCCAGCCTTTGCAATAGCCACCATCATTCCTCTTTTCCTCTAACTCTGTTGCCAGTTTCCCCCTGTCCATTTTTCAGATTTGCAATATGGTATCTGTCTATCATGGCATTCCTCACATCCTGTTTATTAGGACAGGTCACTCAAGACCAGGAGACCCCACAGAGGACATAAAGGGCAATGAAAGAGGGGGATAATATTGTTTTTGTTTAATCAGAAATTTTGATAATTTAAATCCATGCTAATCCCCTGGAGTCTATCTATAAACATAACATTGAAAAAAAGGCTGAATCAATGAAATACAGAACACGTTAGTTTATAGCATTTCCATGCTCAATAGTATCTGATTCACTAGGATTTAAAAGTGATCTTCTTGGGCAAATGGTTTGCCTGGGTTTCTTGTTATTCCTTGGTGAGATGGATGATAGTTTAGCTAAGTAAATATTAAGAACAATGGGGTCCTTTATTCCCTCCATACTAAGAACACACGAACTTTTAATAACAGCTGCTATTCACAAAAACTAAATATTAAGCATATTCTACAACATTATATTGGACATTAAACAAGCAAGATAGATACTATTTTTGTTCACTGAAAATTTACCATCTATAAAAAGATCCTATCAATGAGACAAAAACAATATGAATAAATAGCCAGAAATAGCTTTAATCACTTTCTTTTAATGTTAAAAGAAAGAAATTCAGTGGGTTCCCACTTTCCAAAGAATGAAGCCCTAACATAAATTTGGCATTTGAGAACCTCACAATCTGGGCCCAATACACCTTTTCAACTCCATTTTCCATTTTCCCCACTTACTTTGTAGTCTACACACTGGACTCATTAATTCCCAAACAGACTGAGCTTTTCAACAGGATCTTGAGGCCAGAGGTCCTGTTGTTTCTACCTTGTATTCCTCACAGTTCCTAGCCCAGTGCATTATGCACAATATTGTAGTTGCTGAATAAACATTTGCTGAAGGTAAGCTTCATGAGAACGAGGCATTATAATTAGAGGGAAGTTAGAATTTGCAAAGCTCTTTGAATGAAGAAAAGGTTAAGTCCTCTTTGCCTATAAGTGCCTGCTTTTCCTCTCTATTAAGCCATTGCCCCGTGAGCATTCTTGTTAATCAACAGTGTTTTTCCGTTGCCATAACTGCCCAACAATGTTAATATATTTCATGGCTCTAGGATGTGCTTATTCAACCTCACATGTCCAGGCTTCTCATATCTTTGGACTGGGTTTTACCAGAGACTAACAGGTTGCTATCACCACATGTATCCAAAACACACAGGAAACAAGTCAGCACAATACAAGTAGAGACTAGAACCAGACCCCCCACAAACTACTTAATTCACCCTCCATTCAGTGTGTTGTAGAAATACCATCTTCGAGAGTGTATAAAAATTCACATTTCTTTAATTTCTTCTCTTCTAGGACCAATTCCTCTCTCCCAGCTCTCCTATCCTCTTAATGCTAAGCTGCACTTTGTTGTTTCCTATTAGATTTAACAGGAGTAAAATGTATTAGCTTAAAGATTCTCTTCTATCAACTAAACTTGAAAGTTGGTGCTAGTTCTAGAAATCATTGTTTCCAACCATATGGTTTAGATAATGTAAGAGTAACAAATACAACCCAATTCAACAAGTTGACAATAATTTTCCGTGACACTGAACATTATAAAAAGTAAACCAAAAACTCTTCACAGTAATTGTGAATATAGGTCACTAAATTTCACAGGTGATCCTTAATACTCATTTTAACCATTAGTTTCAATTCCTGCCTTTCCTTCAACTAATTTTTTTAAAAGCAGAGTTATATGAGAACAATTTCAATTTAACCTCATCTATTCGATCACTTTTTATGGCCAGTTAGAGGGGCTAACAAGCTGCGAAATGATTCATAAGAAAACAAAGAAACAGAAGAAAAGATTTTGAAAACTCCACAAACTGGATAGTCAGGTAATGAACAGACTGGGAGCTTAAAAAAAAAAAATCATGCTTTTTTTTAACCTTTAGTAGTATATTACAAGGAAA